ACAGTCCTACTACCTGGTACAATGGTACAACTCACTATCACACATCTCCTTCATACCACACACAGTCCTACTCATGGTCAAACTCACTATCACACATCTCCAACCACACACAGTCCTACTCCTGGTACAACTCACCTATCACACATCTCCTTCATACCACACACAGTCCTACTCCAATGGTACAATCACTATCACACATCTCACTATCACACACATCTCCTGATCAATGGTACAACTCACTCAGACATCCTAGTCATACCTCACTCCTGGTACAACTCACTATCACACATCTCCTTCATACCTCAGACAGTCCTACTCCTGGTACAACTCACTATCACACATCTCCTTCATACCACACACAGTCCTACTCCTGGTACAATGGTACAACTCACTATCACACATCTCCTTCATACCACACACAGTCCTACTCCTGGTACAACTCACTATCACACATCTCCATTGTACCACAGACAGTCCTACTCCTGGTACAACTCACTATCACACATCTCCTTCATACCACAGACAGTCCTACTCCTGGTACAACTCACTATCACACATCTCCTTCATACCACAGACAGTCCTACTCCTGGTACAACTCACTATCACACATCTCCTTCATACCACACACAGTCCTACTCCTGGTACAACTCACTATCCTGGTACACAGAGCAGATGGTGGACTCTACGCGCAGACACGGCGGGAGAAGCGCAGACACGGCGGGAGAAGCGCAGACACGGCAGGAGAAGCGCAGACCCCATACATGGGAGTAGAGTGTATATACACATTGGGTTGGTTGGAGGAATGACATCGATTTACTCGCAGCAACAGAAAACAATGTCATTCCTCCATCCAACCCAATGTGTGTATATATATATATACAGAGGCCGGTGCGGGGGATGGGGGTACGAGGGGCAGTTGGCGTCTATTATGATCACATGATCTCCAACAACGGTCGATGTTTTTAGACGGAACTCAAGGACGAGCGAGCCGCATGCGGCACATTCCTGTGGACTCGGCCTTCAAATCTCGTTGGTTTATTATGGAGGACAAAAGTCGATTGTCACCAATATGGAGACAAACATCAATGTGACCCAATCAGTGCGAGGAGCCCCATCACCCCCGCCGCACTCCTCCCCCACTGCACAATCACCCTCTGAGAGCGAAGAACGTGAAATGTCCAGACTAGTACACCTGAACTATCCTCATCCTCAGTCTCCTCCTCATCCTCAGTCTCCTCCTCATCCTCAGTTTCCTCCTCATCCTCAGTCTCCTCCTCATCCTCATCTGCTCATCCTCATAATTCTCCTCCTCTTTATCATCCTTATCATCAGCTTCATCCTCCTCATCCTCATGTTTTCTCATCATTTGTACCATCATCACCATCCTCATCATCTAAATAAGTGACCCCCCCAACACATTATCTGGTTTATTTAAAAAAGTTTTAAAAGACAAAAAACATAAAAAGTGAGCGGGGTTGTGTCCTCCTCCTCCTCGTCCTCCTCCTCCCTGGATTCAAGAGCCTGGGGAGGGGGCCCCAGTGGGAAGGGGCCGATCTTCAGGCAAGGTCTGGAAAGGAGGATCGCTTGACCTCACCAGTCCCCAGAGAGAGGACCACCTGTAGAGCCAGGGAAGGAACCAGCCAAGCAGAAGGCCTGAAGGCAACCACCAACCCAACCAACCTGCAAGTGAGGAACAGTGAGTAATTCTACACCCCTTGGGGCAGATCAGGGGAGAGGACATTCCGGGGGGGGGGGGAATCTGACGGTGCATTTACATCAACAGATTCTGGGGCCCCTTGCTCCAGGATTCCCTCAGGCAGCTGGATGAAAAGAGGACTCATGTGGAGTCTGGGGTGGTACACCAGGAGAGGCTGGAGAGCGATCTGCTGTATAGAGACTTGTACATGGTTGCTAAGGAGTTGTCCTCGGTAACAGGTTCCTTGGGTGTCCCATGCACCCCTCACCCCATCCAAGGTCAACACCCCTAATAAAAACCCTAAAAACACGCTCCAGTACCACTGTCTCCTGTGTGCAAGTTGGAAGAACATGCGTGTTTCTATAGGGGGACTATAGGGGGACCCGAAACTTTAGCGACTTCCAAGGGGGTGGAGCTACAAATTTTATTGTGGTTGATTGTGGACATCCCCCCCCCCCCCCCGATTCTGATTGTGTCCCAGTCATGGAGAAGGGAGGGGTGACAACATGTACTGACCACACACGGAGACACCTTAATCATTGTCATGGGATTCTGGATTGGAGGTGTCACAAGGGGTTCGGTCCGTGTGTACAGAACTTCTGGGGGTTCCTGAAAGAGCCGAGCATATAAACTGGCAGATCTGCATCACACCCCAGTGCTGGCTGGTCCGTCCTCTTCCATTGGTGGCCATCATTGATGCAGGAAGTCAATAGTACCCAGTCCTACAGCTAGTCTAATGAATGGTCTTGTGGCTGGTCCTGCAGCTAGTCCTATGGATGGTTCTGTGGCTGGTCCTACAGCTAGTCCTATGGATGGTCCTTTGGATGGTCCAACAGCTTGTCTTGTAGCTGGTCATACAGCTGGTCCTGTGGTTTGTTCTACAGCTAGTCCTATAGGTGGTCCTGTGGCTGGTCCAACAGCTTGTCTTGTGGCTGGTCCTACAGCTTGTCCTGTGGCTGGTCCTACAGCTTGTCTTGTGGCTGGTCCTACAGCTTGTCTTGTGGCTGGTCCTACAGCTTGTCTTGTGGCTGGTCCTACAGATTGTCTTGTGGCTGGTCCTACAGCTTGTCTTGTGGCTGGTCCTACAGCTTGTCCTGTGGCTGGTCCTACAGCTTGTCCTGTGGCTGGTCCTACAGCTTGTCTTGTGGCTGGTCCTACAGCTTGTCCTGTGGCTGGTCCTACAGCTTGTCTTGTGGCTGGTCCTACAGCTTGTCTTGTGGCTGGTCCTACAGCTTGTCTTGTGGCTGGTCCTACAGCTTGTCTTGTGGCTGGTCCTACAGCTTGTCTGGTAACTGGTCCTACAGCTTGTCTTGTGGTTGGTTCTTCAGCTGGCCCTGTGGTCAGTTCTACAGTTGGTCTTATGCCTGGTCCTGTAGCTTTATGGCTGGTCCTACAGGTGTCCTATGGCTGGTTATACAGCTGGTCCTGTGTTTGGTCCTGTGGCCTGTCCTACAGCTGGTTTTATGGCTGGTCCTAAGGCAGGTCTTATTGCCGGTCCAATGGTGTCTTACTGGTTGGTCCTACAGCTGATCTTGTGGCCAGTCCTACAGCTTGTCTTATGGCTGGTTCTACAGCTGGTCCTGTGAATGCTCCTGCAGCTGGTCTTACAGCTTGTCTTATGGCTGGTCCTGCAGCTGGTCCTGTGATTGATCCTATGTTTGGTCCTTCAGCTTGTCCTTCAGCTGGTCCTGTGATTGATCCTATGTTTGGTCCTGTGATTGATCCTATGTTTGGTCCTTCAGCTTGTCCTTCAGCTGGTGTTGTGATTGATCCTATGTTTGGTCCTTTAGCTGGTCCTGTGATTGATCCTATGTTTGGTCCTTCAGCTGGTCCTGTGATTGATCCTATGTTTGGTCCTTCAGTTGGTCCTGCAGCTGGTCCTGTGATTGATCCTATGTTTGGTCCTTCAGCTTGTCCTGTGATTGATCCTATGTTTGGTCCTTCAGCTGGTCCTGTGATTGATCCTATGTTTGGTCCTTCAGTTGGTCCTGCAGCTGGTCCTGTGATTGATCCTATGTTTGGTCCTTCAGCTTGTCCTTCAGCTGGTCCTGTGATTGATCCTATGTTTGGTCCTTCAGCTTGTCCTTCAGCTGGTGTTGTGATTGTTCCTATGTTTGGTCCTTTAGCTGGTCCTGTGATTGATCCTATGTTTGGTCCTTCAGCTTGTCCTGTGATTGATCCTATGTTTGGTCCTGCAGCTGGTCCTGTGATTGATCCTATGTTTGGTCCTGCAGCTGGTCCTGTGATTGATCCTATGTTTGGTCCTTCAGCTGGTCCTGTGATTGATCCTATGTTTGGTCCTTCAGCTGGTCCTGTGATTGATCCTATGTTTGGTCCTTCAGCTGGTCCTGTGATTGATCCTATGTTTGGTCCTTCAGCTGGTCCTGTGATTGATCCTATGTTTGGTCCTTCAGCTGGTCCTGTGATTGATCCTATGTTTGGTCCTGCAGCTGGTCCTGTGATTGATCCTATGTTTGGTCCTTCAGTTGGTCCTGCAGCTGGTCCTGTGATTGATCCTATGTTTGGTCCTTCAGCTGGTCCTGTGATTGATCCTATGTTTGGTCCTGCAGCTGGTCCTGTGATTGATCCTATGTTTGGTCCTTCAGCTGGTCCTGTGATTGATCCTATGTTTGGTCCTTCAGCTGGTCCTGTGATTGATCCTATGTTTGGTCCTGCAGCTGGTCCTGTGATTGATCCTATGTTTGGTCCTTCAGCTGGTCCTGTGATTGATCCTATGTTTGGTCCTTCAGCTGGTCCTGTGATTGATCCTATGTTTGGTCCTTCAGCTGGTCCTGTGATTGATCCTATGTTTGGTCCTTCAGCTGGCTGGTCCTGTGATTGATCCTATGTTTGGTCCTTCAGTTGGTCCTTCAGCTGGTCCTGTGATTGATCCTATGTTTGGTCCTTCAGTTGGTCCTTCAGCTGGTCCTGTGATTGATCCTGTGTTTGGTCCTTCAGCTGGTCCTGCAGTAGGTGTTCTTTGGCCTTGTGTGTGCCGTATCAGGGTCAGAGCGTTGTCGTATCTCCTGATCAGTAATATATGACGGTTCCCAGTCTGTGAGGTTCTCAGTCCTAGAGGTGGCACTTTTACATCTCCTAGTTTGGGAGACAAAAGCTCATGGGACGGCCCTTAGACACAAAATGCCATGATTGGCCCTTAGAAACCACCTGACCACAGATCCGAGACCAGAAAGTACTTTATCGGTGATGGTTGCTGGGGTAGACGTGTAAAGTTTGGGTAGAACTCCACCTTGATGTGAATTGAAAGCTCATCCTACTAATGGATTCCTGGGAGGACCCCAGAGGGCCCTTGTGTCTGCAGATAGAACCTCAGAAGCCATGGAAGGAATCTGGGACATGGAGGTGAGGTCATCCCCAGGGGCGGACTGACAACTCATGGGGCCCCCGGGCAATAGGGGATCATGGGGCCCCTGTGTCCTTGCCCAAACTCAAAAAAGCCTATGAAAAAGGTACCAGGGGCATCTCATGGGGCCCCCTACTGACCCCCGGGCCCTCGGACAGTGCCCGAGTTTCCAAATGGTCAGTCCGCCCCTGGTCATCCCATACTGGAGGCACCACATTGTCTGCAGTCCAAAGATCAGAGGGAATGTTTCATGTCGCAGCAGATCCAGAATATTCGTTGTGGGGGAGATGAGTTCTTCGTTCTGAGAGTTTGCAGTGTGAGCTGCATGTGGCTGCAGAATAGTATGTCCCGTCCAGGGGCGGGCTGACCATCTGGAAACTCGGGCACTGCCTGAGGGCCCGGGGTCAGTAGGTGGCCCTGTGAGATGCCTCTGGTACCTTTTTCATTGGCTTTTTTGAGTTTGGTCAAGGACATAGGGGCCCCATGATCCCCTATTGCCCGGGGGCCCCATGAGCTGTCAGTCCGCCCCTGGTCCCGGCCATGAGGAACCACCTAGGAACCGACTAAACGTTTCCATGGATCTGGTCTATGGCAGCCCTGTTTGGTTGGGACCATGCGCTAGTTTTGGAAATCCTGCCTTGGACCCATCAGATCTGGTCCACCTACAGCCACTTCCAGAATTCTCCTCCCACCAGGTGAGGCTCCACCTACACAGGTGATTGGCCAATGGGGCTACGTCTGTCCTACATGTATACCTCCTATAAATGAAATGTCGTTCATCTGCAGCATGACTGAAAACATGGCGGTCACTCGATGTCCGGCATTCCCCGCCAACAGGACCGAACGTTCCCGCCCAGACGGTAACGTTTATTTCTCCCGTTTTTATCTCACAGAATTGGTCGATATTTCCGGATGTTTCTGCGCGGCCCACCTGAGGGTATCAAGGCTGCCTGTCCACTGAGTGGAGGATTCCCGGAGATGGAGGTCACCAGAGATTGTATGTTCATCGATTGCATTGTCTGGCTGCACCCCATAATTGGCTGACGAGGTGACCATAGGCAGATCTCATTGGGAACAGCAGGAATCTGTGTGTGTGTGGTGGCCCAGTAGACGGTCTGATGATGGACTACAGGTGGTGGCCCCTACCCGAGTCATACGTCCGGTGTGTGGGGAAGGTAAGTGGGCACGTGGCTTCCATCCCCCAGGATCACTCGGGAACCTCAGAACCGTGAGGGAACCTACGCAACCGGAGCACCGGATTGTACACAAGATTTGTATCTGTCTGTGTGTGTCCAACCACCTCGATCTGGGTGAGTCTCCCCCTAGTGGTGGCTGGTGGAGCATTTTATGAAGGAACCTCCATGGCAGACGGGGAAGTTGCCTTTGGCCGTTGTCTCCTCCCCCCCTAATTACTATTAACCAGCCTCATGGTGTCATACAGCCCGCCATACACTGAGCAATCTCTGTACAATGAGCTGTAGATTCCCCAAAACCATGTGATGTCAGCGCTTCCCACTGCATAAAGGAGATTGTACAATCGGATTGTACCGTGTATGGTGAGCAATACACCCATACAGACCGTGGCAGGAAGCAGTTCAACAGAACGACTTTACCGGAAAGATCTGGAAAGAATCATCTGCCGGAGTCCAGGAAATGGGAGATATTAATAAATCGCCCCAAGAAAACGAAGAAAACGATTCTCCGACCCCAGGGATGCAGAATGAGGGGGAGGGGGAGGGGGAGGCTGGACGCGTTCTTGGATCGACCAATCGTCGGAAGTCGCACAAAACGCTGCGCATGTGACCGTCGCTCTACGCCGACTTTCCACGACTCCACCTTCAATGAGAAAATAGATATTCACCGATTGTACAGACTAGATCTGACAGACCTTTCATCTCCAAACCTCCACCGCGCCCAACCGCGTCATCGCGAATTACCACCGATATCCACCGCACCCCAACCGCGTCATCGCGAATTACCACCGATATCCACCGCACCCCAACCGCGTCATCGCGAATTACCACCGATATCCACCGCGCCCAACCGCGTCATCGCGAATTACTACCGATATCCACCGCGCCCCAACCGCGTCATCGCGAATTACCACCGATATCCACCGCGCCCAACCGCGTCATCGCAAATTACCACCGATATCCACCACGACCAACCGCGTCATCGCGAATTACCACCGATATCCACCGCACCCCAACCGCGTCATCGCGAATTACCACCGATATCCACTGCGCCCCAACCGCGTCATCGCGAATTACCACCGATATCCACCGCAACCAACCGCGTCATCGCGAATTACCACCGATATCCACCGCAACCAACCGCGTCATCGCAAATTACCACCGATATCCACCGCGCCCAAACCGCGTCATCGCAAATTACCACCGATATCCACCGCGCCCAACCGCGTCATCGCAAATTACCACCGATATCCACCGCACCCCAACCGCGTCATCGCGAATTATCACCGATATCCACCGCGACCAACCGCGTCATCGCAAATTACCACCGATATCCACCGCAACCAACCGCGTCATCGCGAATTACCACCGATATCCACCGCGCCCCAACCGCGTCATCGCGAATTACCACCGATATCCACCGCGCCCAACCGCGTCATCGCGAATTACCACCGATATCCGCCGCGTCATCGCGAATTACCACCGATATCCGCTGCGTCATCGCGAATTACTACCGATATCCGCCGGGTCATTGCGAATTACTACCGATATCCACCGCAACCAACCGCGTCATCGCGAATTACCTCCGATATCCACCGCAACCAACCGCGTCATCGCGAATTACCACCGATATCTGCCGCGTCATCGCGAATTACCACCGATATTACCGTCTGGCCTCCCATCCCCCAACTCTCTATTAATTCTATTTGTTGAACCAATTAACCCCGCGTGTCGCCATGGAAACGATTGACCCTTTGATGGCGGCGGAGCCGATGGATGGCGGAGCTCAGTCTGTACAGCTCCTTTCTGTGTGACCAGAGCGCCACCTCCTGGATGCTGCACCCCAAAACCTGCATCTTCAAGGGGACCTGTCAGGGGGGTCACAGGTCTGCAGGAATGAAGTCCTGAGATGTCTCCACCCCAGGGGCGGACTGACCATTCGGAAACGCAGGCACTGCCCGAGGGCCCGGGGTCAGTAGGGGGCCCCATGAGATGCCCCTGGTACCTTTTTCATAGGCTTTTTTGAGTTTGGGGCAAGGACACAGGGGCCCCATGATCCCCTATTGCCCGGGGGCCCCATGATCCCCTATTGCCCGGGGGGCCCCATGATCCCCTATTGCCCGGGGCCCCATGAGTTGTCAGTCCGCCCCTGCTCCATACACAGCACAAGTCGGCACTGAGATCCAACTTTTATCTGTCAGCTCCCCTCAGTGACTCTGCTGCAGGCAGGAGGAAGCATTGCCCCAATCTCCCCTCCCCCAGAGATCGGACATTAGTGAGCCGGCCTGGATGATGCCGGAGCAAAGGTGGTGCCGTCCTCCTGGTGCAGACATGGCGGGGGTAGTCCTGTGATCTCTGGGCAAAGAGAAGGTCGGGGCAGGGGGGGCTGATGCACTGGGAGGACTATATATGTGAGGGGGGGGGGGGGGGCACCATGGCACAACATGGGGGGGGGGAATCGGCACAACATGGGAGGGGGGGGACACGGCACAACATGGGAGGGGGGGGGACACGGCACAGCATGGGAGGGGGGGGGGGGGGACACGGCACAGCATGGCATCACATTTGGAAGAAACTTCTAAAAAGCAGCAGCTGCCTAAAGATGTGAAACACCCTCATCCCTGACCACCAGGCGTCATCTTCATCCGCAGAGTTCCAGGACGGGTTCCCTGTAACATAAATGAAGGATTCGGATAGCTGAGATGTGATCAGTAGAAATCTGTCATTATAGATCTCACTTAGTTCTGTGTTATTATAGATAAGTCCAGTATTCAGTCAGAGACATACGTCCTCCAATCAGAGCTCAGTATTCAGTCAGAGACATACGTCCTCCAATCAGAGTTCAGTATTCAGTCAGAGACATACGTCCTCCAATCAGAGCTCAGTATTCAGTCAGAGACATACGTCCTCCAATCAGCGCTCAGTATTCAGTCAGAGACATACGTCCTCCAATCAGAGCTCAGTATTCAGTCAGAGACATACGTCCTCCAATCAGAGCTCAGTATTCAGTCAGAGACATACGTCCTCCAATCAGAGCTCAGTATTCAGTCAGAGACATACGTCCTCCAATCAGAGCTCAGTATTCAGTCAGAGACATACGTCCTCCAATCAGAGCTCAGTATTCAGTCAGAGACATACGTCCTCCAATCAGAGTTCAGTATTCAGTCAGAGACATACGTCCTCCAATCAGAGCTCAGTATTCAGTCAGAGACATACGTCCTCCAATCAGCGCTCAGTATTCAGTCAGAGACATACGTCCTCCAATCAGAGCTCAGTATTCAGTCAGAGACATACGTCCTCCAATCAGAGCTCAGTATTCAGTCAGAGACATACGTCCTCCAATCAGAGCTCAGTATTCAGTCAGAGACATACGTCCTCCAATCAGAGCTCAGTATTCAGTCAGAGACATACGTCCTCCAATCAGAGTTCAGTATTCAGTCAGAGACATACGTCCTCCAATCAGAGCTCAGTATTCAGTCAGAGACATACGTCCCTCCAATCAGAGCTCAGTATTCAGTCAGAGACATACGTCCTCCAATCAGTATTCAGTCAGAGACATACGTCCTCCAATCAGCGTTCAGTATTCAGTCAGAGACATACGTCCTCCAATCAGCGCTCAGTATTCAGTCAGAGACATACGTCCTCCAATCAGTATTCAGTCAGAGACATACGTCCTCCAATCAGCGTTCAGTATTCAGTCAGAGACATACGTCCTCCAATCAGTGTTCAGTATTCAGTCAGAGACATACGTCCTCCAATCAGAGCTCAGTATTCGGTCAGAGACATACGTCCTCCAATCAGTATTCAGTCAGAGACATACGTCCTCCAATCAGAGCTCAGTATTCAGTCAGAGACATACGTCCTCCAATCAGCGTTCAGTATTCAGTCAGAGACATACGTCCTCCAATCAGCGTTCAGTATTCAGTCAGAGACATACGTCCTCCAATCAGTGTTCAGTATTCAGTCAGAGACATACGTCCTCCAATCAGTATTCAGTCAGAGAGACATACGTCCTCCAATCAGAGTTCAGTATTCGGTCAGAGACAT